CGTTGTTAGTCCACCAAATTAGTGTGAAACATTTTCACCCTGGCATTTTTAATTTTTATTTTGAGTAATTAATCATATTAATAACCAGTGCAAGTATAATAATAAGTTGGGGTAAATGTGTTAAATTCAATGCACATGCTCCCAGTGGGAGTTTAACAGTTTACTCTGGCAGTTTTAATGTCAAATCCTGCCTGTTATACTCTTACTTTTTTAGAGTTATTAACAGTGAATACCTGCCTTTTTCTCTGGGGGACGAAATACTGTTTACTGTTATGCTTCATATCTGTAAGTAAAGCAGAATTGTTTGATAAAGGAAAATGTTCCTCTACAAGAACAACAGTTTCTTGTGAAAAAAATCCAAACTGTATTATGCTGAAACCTTTATTTTTGAATTACTGTATGCTCCCAATATTTTTTTCTTTTTATGCAAATAAATCTGCCTTTAAACCCTGATAACTAAAGATTTCTACATCAGGTAACATAGAGGTTTTTTAGTATCTACTATTCACAGCTGTTTGCTTTTGCAGTACCGTTGTTCTTCCCTAAGATGGCAGTAGTTCAATATAAATGTCAACATTTGTTTGAACTTTGTCTTGCTTCTCATTTAACTAGAATTTTAGGTTTCTGCAGCATATCTGATTCCTGTACTAAAAAAATGAAACATTTGGTAGCTAATAGCATGCTGAGTAGTAATGACTCATCTCTCAACAAAATTGTTCCTCCACGGTTTTTATACTGTACAGTATAAATATTATATTGCAAATTAAAAATGTAATGTATGATTCAGTCTGAAAAAGACTGGGAACCTGCTATGATCTTAATGTGAAAGTTAAGCTCATACCCATTCAAGTCTCATTACATCTGTACAGAAGCTAGTCATATGAATAGTGTTGAAGCATGCATGCTGCACTACCTGACTACAGAGCAGCGCTGTCTACCTTTCTATGCTGAGGTCTGCATGGTTTCTCACACCACAGAGTACCTCATTTACCATCCATTAATGAAACATGACTTCTATCTCTAAACTAAAAATGACACTCCAGTGGAGGGTGACATCTAAACCCACACAGTGATAAAATAATGATTATGTAAGAATAGAACAAAAGTAACTTTGCTGGAGTAGTTTGTGCCTCAAGCTCTAATGGTACTGCCTTAAGACATCTCATCACTTCTGCAAAACAGCATTCACCCCGAGCACTGTAATAGCTTTAAATAAACAGTGCAATTGATTCAGCTGTATAATCACTTTTATTTAGCCCTGATCCTAGCATATCCCATGAGATTGCACTTTGAAAAGTGCCTTAAAACCTCAGCGGTATCATGCTGAGACATCATAAAGCCACCATCAGCCGGTTGTCAGATTGACATGAGCTGCAAACAGGAGTCGCCTCTTATGCTCATAAAGGATGAATGACCGGCTCTGGCATGTGGGAGGAGGGAGCTGTGGGATTAACAATCAGCTACAGGCTCAGAGGACACTGTGCGCAGCTGAATGCTGATGATAACCAGTGGTGAGGAAGTATTTAGATCCATTACGTAAGCAAGAATGCCACACTTTAAAATACTCCACTACAAGTAAGAACCAAACATTGAAACTGTTACTTGTGTAAAAGTATACAAATATTATCAGAAACAGCATTTTATTGTCTCAGCTGCTCAAGGTGATTTTTAACACATTTATTTATGACTGAAGCTAATGATTATTTTCCTAGTGGGATTATCTCCAGATTTTCATGATAAATTGATTTTGGTTATAAGAAGAAGTTAATTCACATCTCAAAACCACAAAAGATAACTTTAATTATTATAATTAAGCAACCGGTATTCACATTTGAGAAGCTGGAAGTGTGACATGAAAAAAATCAAAACATGTCAGTTGTCTAATCAGTTAATTAACCAATGATTTCTTTCAGCTCTGCTGAACTCGTATATATAGTTTGAATAGTTTATAACACATTTTATGATCATCAAATTCTTTGTGTGAAAAGATCTGAATTTGTAAAGTGGGGCAGATTCTGAATCCTGTCCAATGTAACCTGCTCTACAGGGACACCAGATAATCAGATTCCAGGACAAAAGGGGCACATGGATGGATTGTTTTAGTGCGCTGATACTGTCGCTTACATTACAGTGACTTGCAGTCTTTCCTAAAAGCAGAGGGGGTAGATTCACACACTCCTGAGATTGGCTGAATTGTAATCAGGATGAGACTGCACCCAAGACTCAATTTGCATTAAAATTCCTGTATATTTTACACAAGCCTGCTTTTCCCCCCTGCAGCCCCCAATGCTATTTTAAGGCTCTGCACTTGTACTGCAGCAGAAAACATGTTTATGACAAAAAAATAATAATCCGGGAGAAAAATGCATTTTCTGTTTTTTTTTTTTTTTTTACCAGAGTGAATATGAAACTCTGGCGGGGAGGCTGGGAAATAAAAGGAAATGGAGTGTCACCCCTACAAGCATTGTAGCAGGGTATTAGGGTTAAAGTAATGGATTCCTCACACACACCATTGCTTCAAAGTGGAAATCCTGGGGATGCTGCTACCTGTGAGGCCAAGCCCTTTTACTAGGAGTAAAACTGCTTATAGAATTACATGGCTATTGCAGTTCACTCAGCTCTGCTTTCAAGTTAATATCTCCTGTAATGATGACAATCTAATTGACACAGACTCTGGTTTCCTCATCATGTATCTGAGAGATTACAATTTTACCAAAAACAAAACAATCAAACAAAAAAAAAAAAACATGGGCATAGTGTATGCCACGAAAATTCACCCAGAACTAGTGTGGCTTTAGGCATTTTTCTTTTCTTGTTGTGCTGTAAAGGAAGCAGAGAAGTATTGAGCTGTGTAATGTCTAGCTCTTTTCAATACAGACTTCAACTGTTACTAGGGACTAAAATTCAGACTCACAAATAAAATAAGTTAATGCACAAAACAGGGCAGCACACCATACTTCTGTTATGAGTACTGAAGCACTAAATCACAGGGAGTCTTATATTCCTACAGCCCTGCAGATCCACTGCTGCTGTAGAGTAGTAAAGCTCCAGGGCAGCAGTTGGATTTGTTCATATTTCTATTTGTGGTTTGAGAATGAATGTTACAGAGATTGTATTGGTAAAGTCTTTTTTGTGATCAATTAATTATTCACTATTCTTTACCATCTCATATACAGTACAAGTAATATTTTTGGGTTTTGTTTTTGACCTTGCACAAGAGAGCTCCATTTGGGTAAATTTCTATATGCCAAGACAGCAACTGTATCATTATTATCATAGATCTGACTTTAGGCCTTAATATGAGTGCGATCCCAACCGTGATGCAAAATATGAATAGTTTAAGAATTCAGCCTATGCCATGCCTCTCTTTTCCGGATTTGTTTGGAAAGAGCAACATTAAAGATCATTCTGAAACATCAACAAACCTTTTAACTATCTTTTTTATTGAGGTCATGTTTTATCTCTTTTGCAGCTCTGACTGCAGTTGACATGACTTGACATCGTCATGAATAAAAAGAGTTGAATGTTATTTTATTCATCTGTCAGTAGTGAAAATACGATTCAATTCAGTCCGATAGTTTGTACTTTAACAATACATTAGCTGAACAAAGATTTTGAGCTTGCAAAAACATTTTGAATATGTGTACATTAGCTGAACAAAGATTTTGAGCTTACAAAAACGTTTTGAATATGTGTAGAAACATTTTTTGTGTGTAGAAAAGATTGGTACTTGTAAAAACGTTTTAATGTGTGAATATTATCTGTAAACATATAGTTACAGGACTGAAAATTAGCTGAATCTGATTGGACAATGACAATCCAATCACAGAGCAGAGTCAAACTGTCCAATCAGAGGGCACTTGAGTCTCACATGGTGGTTTGTCTTCTGTGCAGGTGGTGCAAGGTGTAGTAGATTATCAAGATGAACGACAACGCGCGGTTTTCAGCTTCAGGTAGCAGTATTTAAAAAAAATTCTGTAAAATTTGTATGTGCAGTGTAGGTAGACCACCTGAACAAATGTATATTTTTGAGTGCAGCTGGGCTACTTTAGCTTTAGCTAGAACTGAGTGTAGAACGTTAGCAAAGCTCTGCTAGCAAGAAGCGTTCAAGTTGAAGGCAAACCAGCGGCGTGCCTGCTAATTAGTTCCATGTGTGGTTAGGGGCAGTCAGTAGTCCACTACACCTTTTCACTGCTTGAGTATGTTCGCTTTAACAATGAGGTTCATCATTAAAACCTGCTTTTAGGACAGTTTGCTAATAGTAACTTATCCCCTTGTTGGTTCTGCAATTGACTCAGTGTTATGATGCAGAAAGGCACACCTGGAACATATCTGGACTCGACTTGAACCTTCTTGTTTTCAGCACCAAGTTAAGTAGTTAAGGCACCAAGTTAAGGCACTGCTCTTTGACCCACAGATTTATTTCTCGTGGTGAAGTATCTTTATAGGGAAGTGTGTGCACTTTTACTTTTTGTTTTTGCGTGTTGTTTTTCTGCCACTTCCGTAAGATAGTGCCTCGATTTTTATATTTAAGTCAATCATCAATGAACTTCTTCAAAAGCCTGTTTTGTTCAAATTAAAATCAGATTCAAAATACCAGCAGGTTTTGTGGACAGTGGAAGCAATGCCAGGATTTAATGATGTCAAATCCTGTCAATAGAATTACATGGAGGATTTCATTCTAAAACCAGATTACTAGAGAAATTATGACTCTTGTATAAAGCTGCAGGTAATGGAGTCTTATGTTTTCTAAATTTATTTGAAGATAACTTAATGAATGAGGAAGACCATGTATATGTAAAGTTAATTGACTGCCAAGTGCCTATTGCAGTCAGATGTGTGGAAAATGCTAAACACACAGATGTGCTCTTCAAATCAAGGCAGTTTACATCTTCAGTTAAAATTCATTTTAATCACTTTCTTTTATTTTGTGATTCATTCTTAAAATATCTTGTGCTACTCCTGTAATATTTCCAGTTCTATATTCAAGGAGGCAGTGGCCAGAGAAACTCATCTCAGATGGCAAGGGGATTGCACAGCTACACAGCCAAGATGCTGAAGATCAGGGGTGGCCAACCCACTAGTCGAGGACCACTGCCCTGCATGTTTTCCACCTGTCCCTTCCCTACCCGCTGCTGATTACCTGGATCAGGTGTGTTCAGTCAGTCAGGAACTGGAAGATCCTATCTTAGATGAAGGTGGGGGGAGGAAAGACAAAGTGAATTGGTATGTTTTCATTGCTTTTTTGAAAATATCACAACTTCTCTGGAAATGGTGTTTGTATTTCTGTATCATTCTGTAATAGAATTACAATACAGGGTTATTCAAAAAGAATGAACCGATTTCATTATGCAATATTTTATTAAGGAAAAGGAATACAAAACTCCAGCCAAGTCACAAGTATTCTACTCACAATCAACTTTTATTTCTTATCTTACAAGTATTCAGTGTGGCCACAACAACAGCGATCAACTCACTGGATCGTGATATACTAATATGCGCCTGGGAGGAATTCTCTTATCGCATTGATGTTGCCCGTGCCGCAGGTGGTGGCCACATTGAACACTTGTAAGACAGGAAATAAAAGTTGATTGTGAGTAGAGTACTTGTGACTTGGCTGGAGGTTTGTATTACTTTTCCTTAATAAAATATTGCATAATGAAATCGGTTCATTCTTTTTGAATAACCCTGTATATGGAAATTGTACTTGATCATGCTTAATCATTATGCATGTTTATTTGCTATATTTTGGCAGTATACACAGCAGTAGGACTAACCATGCTTTGTACAGAGGATATACACAAAATATTTAGCTCTTGTTAATGTCCAGCATAGTGTACCTATTCTGTTTATGGCAACCACTATAGAGTGCTGTAGTAGTAGGTCCTGAGTTAGCATTTTTCCACTTCTGGTTCCCTCGACCCCAGGTCAATGGGTTTTAGACACCTGAAATAAGGTCAGTGGTTGACACAAGGCCAAAATATTTTCATTTTGTTCTGCAACATAAAATACATCAGTAAATATCTTACTGATGTTCTTTTTTTTGTTTTTGTTTTTTTAAGCTTGTCAAGGCAGTTGCTGACAAGTTGCTAAATGAGACTACAGACATTGTCAGGGACATTAAACATCACACCAAACGTGGAGAATAATCTCCTCACTAGTTCTTTACAGGCTTGTTGTTTATACTCGCACTTGCAAACTATTCTGACACAGCCATGATCACTAGCAAGATCTGGTCATGCTAAGAAAGGATTTTGTAGATGAGGTAAGCACTCTAAATCTGATTTGTAAATTGGAAGCCATGGTGGTTGATGCTGAAGTCATTGGACTGTGGTGTAGTTTTACAGCCTCACAATAGTTTTTATGTCTGGTGATTGTATTTAGGCTTCAAAAATAAGTAGTGCTCACTTATAAAGATCATCTTGATGAAAAAATGTCATAAGCTTTTGTCACAGCATATTTTTGCAGTAATCCAAAAGCCTGTGGAAAAATCCCATTGGCTTTTTGTCAAAGCAACCAGGGTGATGCTAACTTTGGGTTGGCCTACAAAAATGCTTCATCCCTACAGCACTATTCAAGAGATGTTTCATGCTAGTATGTGGTGAAAGGCAAGTTTGTCTCACTGCCAAATTGAAAAATAAAACTCATTAAACACAGGTAATATGTAATCTACATAGCACAATGTCTTTGTTAAACACAGTGTACTTGAAGACCTGTTAGTCATCAAGCCCAGAACTCGGAGCCACACAACCCAGTGAGGAAGATGACCTAAAACCTCATGGGCTTGCACGCAGATGGATGATGTCCTGATGTCAAGATCTGCTACAACAGTTGGTGGTGGGTACTACTAAATTATTAGCTTTGTACAATACACTGACTGGCCACTTTATTAGGTACACCTGTACAGTTGTATCCAATTCAATGCAACACTTCTGCCTCATCTGTGTTTATGAAACTCAATTGTTTTGGTGAAACTGTCATGTTTTTATTATTGAGGTCATAGCTAAAGGTGGTGTTGTACTGGACTACATCAGAGGCATCTCTACTTTTGTCAAAATATACGTAGTCCAGTACACCATCACCTTTAGCTATGACCTCAACAATAAACTTAATTGAATGTTGTGTTTAGTCTGTAAAAAAGTGAAAGTTTATTGTTCCTTGTGTTTAGCATTGCTTAAATCTGGACCTTTTACAAGAGTGGTGCTTTATAATTGCTGGTTAAATTAAATTTAGAAATGTTTACCCTCACTTTCATGAAATGAAACCATGCAAATGAGAACAGTAGAAATTGTTGTTTTGTTTAAGTCTTTATTGTGGTGAACCCATCTGACCAGCAGAGGGATGAAATCAAGTCTTGCCTTTTCTTGGGACTTGCTGCCATTAAATTGCAGATGGCTTTTACTTCAACACAGTGAGATGACATCATAACATTTCTCTTTCCCCCCTATTTTGTCTTAATACAAAATGATGAATTGGAACTTTGCCGTATTCACTGAGTAATATATGATGGTGGGCTCAGTGCCCAGCTACAAACACCGTGCCCACTAAAGTAAAGCTAAAAGACAAACACTACTACTTTGCTTTGGTAAGATGGGAAATTCCTACTGGCAGGGTTGAAGTTGTCAAGGCAGAGCACCTCACATCGTCCACATGCTGCATTACACTACTGAAGACCTCTAGTCATGCAACTGCATGGTGGTAGAAGTCTTCAGTAGTGTAATGCAGCATGTGGACGATGTGAGGTGCTCTGCCTTGACAACTTTGACTTCAGTCCTCTTTGAACTAGGTGGTCTGTGTGAGAGCGCATAGTCATTTGAAAATGTTGATTTACCTTTGGAGTGGTGTGGACTTCAGCACCACATCCTGAAACAATGCAGTATTCATAATTATTTAAAAAAAAATACTTAAAATCTCAGACAAGCAATATCATCTGGAGCTGTAGCCTGGTAAAATATTAATCCTCTCCCTTCCCTCCCTATCTATTTATATGCCACCATTGCATGTCATTAACTTTGTCCCCTCTCTCCCTTTTATGCAGGTATCCCTGGCTCACATTTCTGATAAGCAGTCACCGGCCACGTTAACTCGCCCAGTGTTTATTTACCATCTTGTCTGTTCTGCCGTGATGCTTTTCTTTTCTCTATCCACTCAACCCAATGAGTTGAGGCAGAAAGCCACCTGAACTGAAAGTTGTTTCAACTCAAACTGTCTGGTCCTGCTCTGCAGTTGTTGAAGGTCTAAAATGCCACAGGTTGGGTCAGGGCTTCCAGTTCTTCACTGTCCAGGAGTGAGATCATGTGAGCCCGTGCTCCAGCATGATCCATGTCCTAATCTGGAAACTGGTCCCCCTGAAATTAATAAGTGTGGAGAGTGCTCTGAAATACACCGATCAGTCATAACATTATGACCATCTGTATGCACTCCAATGCAACACTTCTGCCTTAACATTTGTGTTTATGAAGCTCAAAATGTTTGGTTTTGGTGAGATTGTCCAATGTATAAATTCAATTACGTGTTCATTATTGAGGTCATAGGTAAAGGTGGTGTGGTGTAGTGGACTACATTATATTCAGAGGTGTCTTTATACTTTTGTCCTGCCCATTGACATACCTGAGAGGGTCAGAATATTAGGAACACCTCTGAATATAATGTAGTTCAGTACAACATGACTTAACTGACCTCAATAATGAATACATAAATTGAATTTATACATTTGACAATCTCACCAAAAACAAACATTTTGAGCTTCATAAACGCTGCACTGAAGTGCATACAGATGTACAGGCGGTCATAATGTTATGCCTGATCAGTGTACATTTTGTGAACACTGACAAACTAGGATTAAGCCACAAGTACAAGCGTGTGTTTTACAACAATGCTGACATTAAAGAGTGGAACACCAGCATATTAAGAGCTGCATGATTTATCTTACCTCAATGTTTTTAGGAGGCTTGACAACTTCCCACAGCTGGGTTGGGGTACAGCAGTGTTCTGGTCAGCGTGAAGGGTTGGGGACACTCTTCCCTGAGATGAAGCTTCCCCTACCCCAGCTTCAAATGTCCACATTCTCAGCTCCTTGCACCCCCTCTCTTAAATGTGCATAAATAAAATGGCATTCAGAACATTAATATGGGCAATGTTTCATTATCAGACATGCTTGCAAGTTCTATAAGGCTGACTAGTAAATTTAAGTTGGTTTTAAAATGACTGGAAACCCAAAGGTAGTCTGAAAAGCAGGAATAACTACTATTATGAATGTCTAGATATTTTATAGAATTGTGTTAACTATAAATAGCTCTTAAAATGATTGGAAACACAAAAGGCAGTCTGAAATGCAGGAGTAACTGACATGAAGCCTAATTACAGTAGGAAAATTAGATGACTCAACACTGGCATAGTCTTCAGTGTACCAAAGATGCTTAATACAATAAAACCTTTTACACATTTGAATTTTAATATCCAAGACTCTACCTGGATGGAAACATGTTTCTTTGCAGCTTCAAGGAAGAACTCCAGAGCCATGGGCGTCTCGTTATTGGTCATTTGGAGGAACAGAATCTGTGACATCTTTAGCATTAACAGGCTACTCAAATATACTATAAAGTCACATCTGCATCATACTTTCCTGTTCGTGAATTCAATTTTAGATGACTACATAAATTCAGGGATGCACAAACTCAGCCGACCCTTGAGCTCTGTCACTTGTTTATGTTAAACATTGCCATGGCAATGATGACAAACTCAGCCGACCCTTGAGCTCTGTCACTTGTTGATGTTAAACATTGCCATGGCAATGATATCAAACAGGAAAACGATTACTTTTAGCTTTATCTCAAGCCAGGATCACTGTAATCTCAATTATATACCGTACTACAAAATTAACAATTTATAAGTATGAAACATGTTTTCACTTTTTCCCCCAAAGTAGGAAACACACTTGACAGTATATTAAAGAAAGAAAAAGAACAGTTACACTGAAGAGTGGACAGACAGTCGACTGACAAAATCCATAGTGGAGAACAACAGTACTGTCTCATTTAAATCTCCACACCCTTTGAATACGTTTCTCACCTGATCAACTTGTGTATGAGTGACAGGGGGCCTGGAACACTGTTGGTCCCTCTCGCAATACACCCAACACTACATGGCGTATGGAATCGAATGCTCTCATCCACTGCACTCTGTGGCCTGATGCCCTCAGACATCCCTTCACCATCCTCTGGTCTACTGGAAGGTACATTGAACAAAGAGTTAAACGAGTCTTATAATGTTCTAGTTAGAGCAACTTCTCTGATCACAGAAAGACAGAAACCTGTGAACTCAAACACTGTGACATACAATAGTTTTTGTGAGGACGTTTGCCAAATAACACCTTCTGTACATAAAATAAGCCCTGGTTCACAGCAAAGCTCAGGCAGCTTTGTCATGCCAAGGGGGAGGCCTGTATGGGTGGGCACAGGTCCCTGTACAACTAGGCCTGGAACACACTGACAAAGGAGACCACAGTAGCAAAGAGGAGCTACCCTGAGAGGCTGAAAAACCAGTTTTTGGATAAAGACCCAGCATCACTGTGGAGAAATCTGTTGATCACTGGCTACAGCAAACATCACTTCCTGCTAAGGAGAGTCATCAATTAGCAGACACACCGAATGAGTTTAACTGCAGGTTTGAGAAGCAGAAGCCCCCAGCACACACATTTTAGATCCAAAACCGGCAGCCACTCCCTCCATGAGCACCTACTTTCCCCCCCAGCTCTGACAATTTCTAAAGAGGCTCTATGAAGCCTCTTTCAAAAAATATATCAGGAAGGCACCAGGTCCAGACAGCATGACCCCCCCACCCGTAAGCTTGTGCTGCCCAGCTGGCCCCCATATTATCTTCAACACTGGAGCTGTGTGAAGTTCCCTCCTGCTTCAAACACTCCACCATCATCCCAGTCCCCAAGAAACCCACGGTCTCACTGACTATAGACCTGTCGCCCTGACATCTGTAGCTATGAAGTCCTTTGAGAGACTGGTGCTGACCCACCCGAAGGACATCACAGACCCCCTGCTTGACCCCCTGCAGTTTGCCTACTGGGCAAATAGATCAGCAGATGATGCAGTCAACATGGTGCTGCATTACATCCTGCAACACCTCACCTCCCCAGAGACAGCGCTACAGGTCACTATACACCAAAACAAGCATTTTGACAGGACAAGTTTCTTCCCCCAGGCCATCACTCTGTTGAACACTTAAAACCCATCTTCAGGAGCAGCCAAGAATGCCAAAGCAACAGCAGCTTGCAAATACCAGCTGTGCCAGCTGACTGCTCAGGCACATCAGTTAAGCTGGTGATATCACTAGTATATATAGCATGAGAGCCAACAACAACACAAACTCACAAACCCATCCAATACACTATCCAGAAAGCTTCAATTCCTTGGAGGCTTTCAAACCACAGTTCAAATAAGGTTTATATCTACAAATAGCAAAAGCTTCTTTCAATAGCAGCAAATTCCAATGTTTACTTTGACCATCAGACTCAATAATTATCTTCCACAACCGTTTACCCCAGCTTGACTCCAGGTAACAGATCCAGTCTATCAGCAAGTTTTACAATGTCAATGAGACATTTCAATTCCGTGCATGATGTCAAATGCTCATATATGCCACTGCTGGGTCCTTTTGAGTGAGTGTTCACTTAACCTGGCTGACTCAATGTGAACACTGTCGGTAGTGATTCGTCTTGGAGTTTTAATGGCGGTGGGCATGCCAGCACCAACACCCCAGTCCCCTGATTCACGTGGTTGCCCTTCAGTTTTTTTTTTAATCTAATTCTTTCAAGCAATTAGCTACATATATTATATTTGATAAATACTAAAGGCAATTATCTTAACATTTGCTGTGACAAATTAAGTTACATTAATGGAGCAGGTAAAACTAGACGAGCGCTTTCATCTACAAGATTGCACATCCAGTAGGGTATAGGTTACAAGTAGTGATGGCCGTCTGACCCCCGACGCTCCTATACAAGCTTCAAACTCGAAGATGCATTTTCCTTGAACCACTTCTTCTAAGCTTGAAAAGACATGTGACCGATGACGTCCGAAGCAAAAACTACTTCAGTCCTCTGAGTGAATGAACTGACTGGTTTCGTTACACACTCCAGCCCAGCAAGTGGCGGTAGCGCACCTTAGGTTGGCTTGCAAACCGCCAAAAGCACAAGAAGAAGAAGTACGAGGAGGAGAAGAAGAATTCAAACAGTCGATACTGCTTCGTAACGGCAGACCTTGCCGCGCGCGCGTTTCAGCAGTTTCGTAGGCGCGTAAAAGCACTATATACATTACAGATTCGCCCTACTGGAACGCGCACATAAATGTTTCCCCACATCCTGTTTCCCCAAGTAGGCCTTCTCCCAGCTACTACACTACATACCGTTATAGAATCATCCGACCAATCAATCAATCATTCAATCTTTACAAAAATGTATTTACATCATTCACACAAAGCCTAGTTACACCGATCACATAAGACATTGTTTTGCTGTCTCCTATTTTGCCACTAGATGTCAGTGAAACGAACCTTTGAATGAATGAACCCATGTTCGGTGCAATTGATGAAGTGGTTCAATAGTGGTTCATTGCTTCATTTGGACACCACTAGATACAACTCATAGCGATTTTTTCCTAAAATAACCAGGTTTAACTATTAGCCTAATAGTTTTTTAAGCCCGATAGTACACACGTTCAATTAACATTTACCGCTAGGGTAATTCTGGATGACACTAGATAAAGTAGCCCACCTGAACTACAAAATATACATTTGGACAACGTGTTACCAAATAATAGCCTAGACGCCGCATATTTACACAACAGAACATCAAATTTTGTCTAATGCTACTCACCTGAGTAGCAAAAGTCGTCCATCTTGAAATTCTACTGCAGCCAAACTACTTCTACGTCTAATTCTTCTTCTTCGGGGTTTTACGGCAGTTGGCGTCCTTGATGTTGCATTACTGCCTCCTATTGGATTCAAGCCTCTTCAATGTACATTCCTTTCAAAATTGTGTGTACCTGTATAGTTAAATTCAGCCCAGAAGCTCTGAAGAAGCCAAAGATTATTTCAGGACCTTCAACCCAGGCCAAGTTGAAGAACGCAGCTGCTCTCTGATTGGACAGTTTGCTCTGCGACTGGGTTGTCTTTGTCCAGTGCTTTTTATTTGTACACAGATATTCACAATTTTTAGTGTCTTTATATAACTTAATTTGTTTACAGATTTTACTCACACGTTCATAAACATTTTTACAAGTAGAAATCTTTTCTACACATGCTCAAAATGTTTGTACAAGCTAAAAATCTTTGTGACTGTATTGAGACCATAACAACACAGACCCTTTATTTTTATGTATTTATATACGTTTTATATTTATTTTTTTTTGACCTACTGTTTTTTTGTTTGTCATATCTCGAATGCCTCTTCACTGACAGATGGGATTGCCTGTGGTACATTTGTGGTTGCACATGTGAGTCCACGAAACGTCTCATACTTTCAAAAAAATTGTGCTGATGTTTCAAAATTGTCCAGTGTTTGGATGAATAAAGAAGTGGTCACCAAATAAAAAACTACATACACAGGGAATAAAACATAACAAAATACATAAAACCTGTAAAGAATTATGTGAAACATTCATCATGTGAACTCATGTAAAATTCAGTGTACATAGAGTGACAGCATAACATAAACCTGGATAATGTCACACTAAAAATCTGCAAACATGTATTTTTAACACATTTTTGTGTTTATTTTCCCCATAAAGACAAATTCATGGATCTATAGCTTTTTTTGTAGACTCATATATGGTTTTTCCACCTTAGTTGGGCCATTTCACAGTCTTTCAAGACACTATATGATATCTGCAGAAGTACCCCAACAGACCTTTCAGATGATCTCCTCTTCATTGGCACCTGTCATCATTTTGCACACATGTTCCTTTGAGCAGATTTTAAATTAGATTGTATTTCACACTCGGAATTAGATAAAAGCAGATGATACAGTTTTTTTTTTTTCTAACAACTGAGTGGTCAATATAAGTGGCAGGAGCTGGATGTCTCAGTGCTTTTAGCAAACAATTTAAACCATTTATCCAAAACTTGTTAAATGACTTATTGCACTGGCATCAGACACATGATTTTCAGCACTATGGACAGCTCCCAGTGAACTTCATTACCACCTGAATAAAAACCAAACTGAAAGGATTATTGTAACCTGGGGCACTGATTCTCACCATGCTTTCTGGAGGATTAGGAGAATTAGAAATTATTGCTAAACTGTAAATGAATGAATTTTCCACAAGGTTGGGTTTTGGAGGCTTAGACGGGCCTTCATCCATGATGCAGGAGCCATTACCCTCAGTGAAGCATCACTTCTTGATCGCACTGGCAAAGTTAAACCAAATAAATTGAGTTGACACAGGTCAAGTAAGGATCTTGATGGAGGTAAAACCAATGAGCAACAGGACGGCCTTCTAACTCAGGCCTCAGAGAAAAACTCATTTCTTATTTCATTTCCACTTTAACATCTCAAAACGCAGAGGCTGACAGTTTTCAGTTGTTCTTCAAAGACAGCCACCTTACTGATGGAGCTGTGTGAGAGACGACCACCAGCTCAGAGCTCAGAGTATAGGTGATATCAGAAGAGCAGTGCACGTCTTCCAGCAGGCTGCGGTAGACAATAAGGAAGTCATTGGTTTGTGTGCTTTGTAGTGATTTCTCTCAGTCCTTTTTTCCCCAGACTGTCGCAGAGAGTTAGAATGATGAAGCTGAGCTCTGTCACACCCACACAGCAGCAGAGGCTGTTATCTTTTTTGCTCACACTCCACTGCTATTTTTGTTGCCTGCACCAGTGTTTTTGTGTGAGGGGAATATACACACGCACACACAACAATGTATGTGTGTGTCGTCTGAGGGGGTAAAAACATGAGGAGCAAGAGTAAGAGGGATGAGACTAAGCACAGCAGTCATAAAACATCTCTGTTGACTGGAAAGAAGACAGAAAAAAAGGATTTGGGGAGCAGAGATAAACTATTAAATTCAAGCAAAAAATAAGGCAATTATTTTCAGAAATGTTACTATATTTTTGTCATTTTCAAGTGACTTTTCCCCAGACATAAAATGGAAATGCATCACACCTTGTCATGCTGGTCAGTTTCATTAAATGTTGTTCAGGATTTTCTGCATGTATCAACCTTTGAGGGTCATAAAAAATGGCAGCGCTGCATTCTTTCACATCAATTAGGCAACTTTAAATTCACAGAGAAACTTTTTTCCCCTCAGTTTTCTCTTCATCCAAGGAGCAATCATTCATCCCTCTACTCTTATTAATATCCCACAGGAAGAGGTCTTACACTGGCCCAGATCCAGCTGCTAGTGGATGACTCACGGACAGTGCTTCCCTATGGGGTGCTGTGCCTTCCCATCCTCTGTCATTCTGTACTCCTTATGCTCTCTCTCTCTCTTACTGTGCCTCCTCCTCACACATGCTCTCTCTAATCCCCTTTACTCCTTGATCCAGCCTCCCCTCCTTTCACTCCATCCTCTCTTTACTTGTCAGCTTTCCTTCTCTGTTGGTGCTCTTCTTCCATCCATCCATTATCTGTACTGCTCATTCCTGTATAGGGTCACGTGGAGGCTGGAGCCAATCCCAGCTGACATTGGGCAAGAGGAGGGGTCCACCCTGGACAGGTCGCCTGTCTATCACAGAGCTGACATGTAGACAAACAGCCACACACACTCATACTCACTCCTACGGGCAATTTAGAGATGCCAGTCAACCCCTGCTGCGTGTCTTTGGACAGTGGGAGGAAGCCTGAGTACCTGGAGAGAACCCATGCAGGCACAGGGAGAACATGCAAACTCAATACAGAAAGGCCCTGATTCGTCTCAAGCTCAAATCCGGAACCTTCTTGCTGTGAGGCAACAGCATTAACCTGGTGCTCCTCTTCCTCATATTAAAAGTTACCATTCTTCCTCCCCTCCTTCTGATGCATATAATTTTACCAGCCTCCTCTTCTCTTTTTCCTCCAGTCACAGCGATCGGAGGCCTGGTCACTGAAGAGGTAATATAAGGTGTAATGTAAGTACATGCAGAGAGAGCAACGGACAGAGCAGCTGGTTATCTGAGCATCACCTACTTTCACTTATTTCCAAACTAAATCCCCAAAGCCTTTCATTACATGACAGGCCAGGTCAAGGGTGTAGTCATTTTTAATTTTGCAGAAGAAAAAGCATGGAAGGGTCTGTTCTTTTTCCTAATTTAAACCATACTTACAGCCTTCCCTGGTGATATTTATTATATAAAAAAATAATTTCTAGAAAGCCATGGTAGCATAACACATTGCAATAGAGCATGACTCAACACCGGGCCAGTGGACACTAGTTCAGTGTCATACCCCTCTTTGTTTCAAGTTTCCTGTCCCCCTCTAGACTAACTGTCAATTAAAGGCTTTATGCCAAGAATAGATAAAATCCGAATAGTTAAACAACATGATGTAATATATTTGTGTTATGCTATGACCATTTACAGTAGGAG